TATAAGTTGATAACTTTGTTCTTTTGAGTTCCTTAAGAATGTGATGATCCCCAGGCAGAGAGTCTATGCTGATAGCTATCATCAATGACAACAGAAAGATCAGGGTATAGAGTGTTGCTCCAGTCTCTGATTCATATCCAGTAAAAGAAAAGACTATCAGGAACTAAGACCAGATGTCTATCCCCACCCAGAGATCACAGACGCCCCCACCCAGATACTAGCCCTATATATAACTTGCCTCTAGCCTTTCTTCTGTAAGATGGTTCTTTCAGACATTAGTCAGCCATTTTTACCCTTGCTAGCAAGCTGTAATAAAAATTCCTTTCTCTCCTACCTCCTTGCCTCTTGACTATTGGCATGTCTTGCATTGGGCAGATGACCCTCCCCTCCTTGGGTGGTAACAGAGGTAAAAGCAATACTACTGTTATATAAAGTATTCTAAAAAATAAAATACAAGATTAAAAATGACTCTATTATTACCATTCTGTAAACATATATATATATATTTTTTAAACTTTAAAAGATCCCAATGTTCATGATATAAAATTAAGCAGAATTAATTAAGCTTGCAAAATTGCACACAAAATCATTACATAAACATATTCTTAAAACCTCTAAAAATATATAGATACAAAATTCCATGCTATATATTTTTATAATTATATAAATATTTAAAAAACTAAACCTATTATATAAAAATATAAACATATTTGTAAATATATGAAAAATTTTAAGTAAAATAAATAAAAGCTAAAGAGAAATACACTGAACTGCTAATAGTGGCCAAGTGCAGTGATGAGGTTAGGAGTGATCTGTTCTTCCCATGCACCCTCCATTTTCTAAATTCCCTGCTGTATGGTCATATTACTTCTTTAAGAAAATACAAGAATAAAATCTATGTAACAAGTGGATATACTCAGGATGTAATATTAAGCAAGAGAGCAGGATGCAAAATTGGATCTAACAATAGGATTACAAGTATAGAAAAACATGCATAAAAAAGTCTCAAAGGATGTGTTCCAAATTGCTAAAATTGTTTTTGTTCTGAGAGGCGGATTTAAATAGATTTAGTCCATCTTCTCAATTTCAAAAGTACTGTTAATGTGGTAATATTGCTTTTATAATTTTTAAAGAGTGGAGTAATTATGAAGACTATCTAGGATCTTGGAAAATATTTATGAATTTAAGTCACAATAGCCCCTCAGAGAGTGGTCTGAAGGTATGGTTGAAATTATGTTGAAATGGTTCTACCTGTGCATAAGGTGTTACTGGAAAGGAACAAGCAGAAGCATAATGTTAATGTATTAGGGTGGTATGATGAAAGATGCTATTTCCTTTCTGTTCAGACATTAAAAAGTCACACAATCTTTTTCAATAAAGAGATGATTTGGAAGATTAAAAAACAATATGGGAAGAATGAAAAGTGCACGAGCCAGAATAAAATACTTGGCTGAGCCCTCTGCATACAATATTCAAAAAATATGTACAGGGGGAAACAGCTGAATTGAAATAAAATAGAGTGATCAACAGTGGCTTGTGTTCCAGAGGTAGGTTTTTTGTATTTGGTTCTTTTGGCTTCTCTTCACTTTCCAAACTTTCAGTAATATGATTATTTTACTTTTGTAATTTAACAAATGTTATTTTTTAAAATATGGGGCTAGACTAGATAAGATCTAGCAGATGAAAGCATGGTTAGAGCTGAGGTCCAAGGCCTCTAGAGTGCATTCTCATTAGAATGTTCAAAAAGGAAATGGAAGAGCAGAAGTAGCTGATTCACTGATTTCTACTTCACTGCTGGTGGTTTCCCCTAACAAGTGAAAGAGAGCCAGTTCCACTTAGAGAGGAACATTAAGCAAATGGTGTCAGCTCAAGCCTTCACATTGCTCCTTGGACTGAAGATGGGATGGGAAGTAGGTGCTGACTGGAAAATTAACTGGTCATTTACCTAAGCCCTCACAGTCCCTCCAGAAAGGGGCAGTCTTTAAACTGAGGGAGGTTGCAATTCTTTGATGCTGAAGCATCACCCCTTATACAGTGCCTGGAGAGAATTATAATTCAGGGTAATGTGTGAGTGAGGTGGTGGTCATTCTTCTTCAGCCTCATTTGGTTATTTGGGGGGTACGGTCTTTTCCGTGACCTAGTAGCCTCATCTTTTTGTTTTTCATTTGAACAAGTCACTCAAGGGTTTTAAAAGTCTTTGAGGTCCATCTCAGACTTGTTGCCTTCTTGGCTCACAGTCCCGTGTACCTCATCTACGTTCTTTCATTCTTATCTTCCCTTCCCCCTTGGAGTTTTCTCCCAATAAAGATTCTAAGATAAATCTTAACTAAATATTTTTCCAGGGTTCAGAATGGCATTTCACCATCAGTAGTCCTAGACACATTCTGTCCTTGTCCCTTTTAAGAGAGGAGTGAGGTAGAGGAAGCTAGAGGGTTCCTCCAGAGCTGTGTACACTTTTCCCATAAAATAAGAAGCAAAGTGCCCTAAGAAAACTGGAAGCTATATTGAGTTGTGTGTGTGGAGGTAGGGGGGAGGGGGAAGAGAGGAACAGCTGGGCTTCTAAAGAGGATGACTCCTGTTTTCTGGGAAAAAAAAAAGTCCTGGAGTCTTTCAGCTTGTCATTACTTATCTCTAGCCTCCAATGTCTGAAGAACCTGGTTTCTCATGTTCCTAGCCCTCCTCAAGGAGGGGAGCCTAGAGGAGATAAAGCTTATAGACCCTCCAGGTTTGATTCCAACAGACAGAGACCCACAGTGTGATTCCCTAAAGAGGAAGCAGAGAGAGGGAGAATACATTTTTGTTGGGATTGAATGGGAGAAAGGAGGAATGTACTCCCTGCTTTCTCTTTCAGGGCCCAGAAATGTCACTTAAACAAGCCCTTCAGCTTCTAATCTACAAAGATACAAAAATTATGTCATTCCATTTCTGGATGAGACATGTCGGAAGACAATAAATGCTAAATGAAAATCCATCTCCTTTGACTTAGTAATTTACATTTGACTGTCTCTTGAATACAAGCAGAGAAATATGTAACTCTAGACTAATTTTTAAAATTAGGTGTGTTATCCCCCAATTAAAGGTATTATAGCATCACTGATGAAAAATCTCCTTTGCTCTAAACCTTCCTTCATGAGGGACGTGGATCTGTGTAACTTTCTCACTGTTGATGTAAAAGTGTGTAACTTATGCAACTCTACAAGGAAGGAACGTATTTCCACAAAGGGAGAACAATTGTTGTGACCAAAGCAAGCTGCAGGAAGGAATTAAATCATTGTCTAGGTGAACTAATCAATAAAGAAACCCAATTAATTCAGTTCAATCTTCATGATCATTCAATTGGCCTGTTTAATCATAATCTTACTATCAATTTTGTACCTAGGCAGTTCATTTCCCATGTATTGAGTTTCTTTAAGGCACACAACATTGTACTGGAGGATGAAGGTATTGGGATAGCCACCAGTGTCTAAAGTCATTTCCAATGTTCTTTTGTGCTTTTTGCAGGATAATTGTGTTTCATTTAAAACTGAAATTTGAAAGAAACTTTGAAGAGAATTTGGACCAGCTAAGCCCTTCATTAGGCAGATGAGGCCCCTCAGAGAAGAGAAAAGACTTTGTTGTCTCAAGGTACACAATGAGTCAATAGTAAAATGAGGAATAGGAGGAAGGCGCTTTTCTATAATACTACGTTACAAAAATTCTCTTTAAAATATTGTTCACTACATCTGAGTAGTTTGATAACATAAGACTGAGGAACAAATGTTAGACTTATTTATATGAAGGTACTGGGCTGACCATCTCATCCATTATTTACTTGATAAAAGTGTAATGACTGCTTGATACATTCCCGACATTGGGGTAGGCTCTGAAGATACAAAAATCAATATGACTCTGTCACTGCTTCAAGAAACTTAAAGTCTAGAAGGGGAGACATATTAATAAGTAGATGGTTACAGTACAACATGATAACAGTTATGACAGAAATACAGTAATCATAGGATACTATTGGATCATCAGAGTAGAACCTACAGAGGTGGAGACAGTGAATAATGACAACAAATAGGGTTTGGCTGAGAAGGGAGGAGACAAAGTATAGCTGGAGAGAAACATATGGTAAAGAGAATTGTTTTGTATTGTTTTTTTAAATGGAAATGACTGGAGCATGTTTATAAGGCCCCAATAGAGAAGCCATTTGTGAAGCTAAAGGAGAGTGAGGGGATATGATACAATGAAATTGCTAAGAATGCTGGTGTATGTGTTTAGAAATGATTACCCAGTTAGACTAGAAAATTTTTACATTTGCCGCAACTACTTGGTCTCTTGATTCCAGTATAGTTCCAAACACATGGCAGGAATAAGTCAATGTTTTTGTTGTTGTCATTTGTTTGTTTGTTTTTGGAGTTGATGGGTACGTTTACTCTCTTGATTGAAAAGATGTTTCATGGGTATATACATATGTAAAACTCAACAAATTGTATGCCCTGTATAGATGCAGTTTACTGTACATCGCTTATAGCTCAAGAAAGCAGTATAAAAACAATCTGATACACAAAATTTTAGGGTTTTTCATTTTCTTGAGAAAAATATTCAATGGCTATCAAAAGTATTTAGAATTAAACTTATAATTTTTTATCTTGCCATTTTTCCAGATTTATTGATACATAATTGTAAGTCAATGTTTTTTGAACAATTATTTATATAATTGGATGATTTATATTTCTTCATTTGAGGCTTCTATAATTTAATTTTAGATTTAAAAAGTTAAGGTAATTAATGATATTTATGGCAAATATTTATAGAGTGCTTACTCTGGGCTATGCACTTTGCACAGAATCTCTTATTTAATCCTCATAACAACTTCATAAATAGATATTATTATTATTCTAATTTACAAATAATCAAATTGAAACAGAGAGATTAAATATTATGTTGAACTACATGAACTTCCTATATGTGTAATTAAAAATGACTGAATATCAGTAACTTCATGTTTTTTTTCTGTTTGTCTGATTTTTTATTTAAAAAAATGAAAAAACAAAAGTTCAATTTTCATTCAATAAATATCATTTGATCCTTATGCAGTTCTGTTGAAGAAAGTGAAGTCCACGATTTTAGAATGATGATAGCAATCAGTTTTCACACAGTTTCAATAATCGCAGCAATTTCTTTGAACTGTCTGTAGAAATTCTGAAACTGGGGAATTGTCATTTCAAAGGACTTCTTTACGTGGCCTGAATGATCTGCCACTTTTAGCATCACTGCAACGTAAGGATACTTAAGAGATCTGCAACTGTCCGAGCTCACAGCCATACCCAGTTTCCACTGAAAATCTATAAGCTGGGTGGTAACCTCGGCCTTAGCATCCAGCGGAGGCTCGCTAGACGCCTCCATGGCAAGGGTCCAGAAACGCCACCACCGACTCAGGTGAACGCTCCTCGGGCCAGCAACACTTCAGCTTCCTCTCCCCGTCCCTCGTGGCCCGGCCTGTAACTTCATGTTTTAACCCAAGAGCTTGTTCATGGTAATATAGGTAGTGAGTGAAATACATGAAATTTGAACTATAACAGTAAGGCTCTAAAACTTATACATCATCAATCTCTGTAATTTTTCTAGGCACATCAGGGATCATTTTCATATACTACAAACCCTGATTCAAGTATCCAATATTTGTCTTAGCAGGGCCCTCTGTCTTTTTATTGCACTGCAGTGATCTAGACAGGACCTAAAGGAATATGTTATCTCCCAGATGAATCAGGAACTTGTTTCTACATTTTTGGTTAAGACTTTCTGGAGGAACTAGACACAAAGGCAGCTTTGTAAGAGAAATGATATTAAGCAGAAAGGAGGAAAGATAGGTGTAAAGGAAGTGAAGGAAGAACAAAGGTGAAGGCAAAGGACCAACAGTGGCCTGGAAGTGAGTGAGTTCAGGAGACAGTAAACTGATAGGTTAGACTGAAAGGAAGCCGGAGGTCTAAGCAACAGCAGTGCTAACTTGTCCATAAAAAATCCATAATAGACTATTGTACTGCAGGGCTTTGAAGAAGATGCAATACAGCAGAAAGAAAAGGGTGGACATCTGGGATCAGTACCCTGCTTTCCTTTTAGGCCATTTTCCCTTGGAGGGGAGCCTAAGAGTTCAGAGTTTTAGTCCCACATCTATGTGATCATGGGTAAATTTCTCTGTGGGCCTCATCACTCCATCTGTACAATGAAGAGGTTAGGCAAGATGGTCTTCAAGGTCCCTTCCAGTTCTGACATTCATTTTCTCATTTATTTATTTATTTATTCATTCGTTCATTCAACATGTTACCAAATAATTAGTTACTAAGTATTGGGTCATGTGCAAGGTTCCAGGAATATAGAGACAAATGAGACATGCTCCCTGCCTTCAAGAAACATACATTTTTTGGGGAAAATTGGCAGTTGTGTGGTAGAGTGAAGAAGGAGGGCAGTTAGCAAACAGTCAATATTACAAGACAGATGCTATATGGTACAGTGCCTGGAATGATCTGTGTATCAGTGAGGATACGATGCAGATTGTCACTTGTGCCTGAAATGATCAAGGAAGGCTTCATAGAGAAAAAGAGGTGATACTTGACTTGAATCTTGAAGATTGAGTAAGAAGTAGACATTCTGAGAGAAGAGAGTTGGATAACGGAGACAGAGAGAATAGCATATGCAAAGTTATTGCAATATCAAAAACTATGGTGCATTCAAGGAACTTCAAGCCTGAAGTGAGAGGCTCAGATCATGTAAAGCCTTTAATGCCCTACTAAGGAGGCCTGTTTCTTCTTCATTGTAAAGTTCCTTTAACTCTTACTGTGGCATCATAGCCTGCTTACTTTCAGAACCTAGTTCAGAGATTTATACAACCAACATTTAAGAAGTTATTGCTTAAGATTTCAGAGAGCATAGCAACAACAAAAACAAGAAAAGGGTAAAATACCAAAAAATTAACAGAAAAGTTCAATATCTACATTTTAAAAAGCCTTAAAATTTAACTGAAGAACAGAAAAGATAATTAGACTAAATGTAGAAATATACCCTATTCTTGAATAAGGAGACTCAATGTTATAAAGATGTCCCCTGAATTTGATCCCCTAAACTTGATCTATAAATTTAATGTAGTACTAATAATGGCACTAACTGAATAAATGCGTGTATCCAATTAGTGTGTAGACAGGCTGATTCTCAAGTTTATGTGGAAAAATAAAAGAGAATAATCATTTTTCTAAAAGTGAAATATATTAGTAATATATTGCTACAATAATTCTGCATAATAAACAACCTCAAAATCTTAATGGCTTGAAACAGCAAACATTTATTTTTCTTGCTCCTGGGTCTGTGGATCACCTATCATTCTGCTAACCTTAACCGGGCTCAGCTGGACTTGGCTTTAGGCTGTGGTTTGGGTATGGGTCTGTTCCATGTGACCCCTTTCTCCTTGTGCCAGTAGCAACCCAGAACATTTCTTCTTATGGTGACTTGCTAGAGCCCAAGAGGGCAAAACAAACTATGCAAGTATATTCAAGGCCTTTGCTCATATCACATCCTCTAACATTCCATTAGCTAAAGCAAGTCACACGGCCAAATCTAACATGAAGTAGTCAGGGCAATGCATTATATCTAGTAGGAGGTTGTTGGGGAAGAGGGAGAATCCCCTTCTGCCCTTTCCCTTAAGGTTCTTATGGCTGTCCAAATAATTAAAAGACAGGTTAGCAGAAGAAAATAATACCAAGTTTAATAACATGTATACATGGGAGAAACCAGGGAAACTGAGTTTCTCAACAAAATGGTGGAGGTTCTCATCTTAAATACTATCTTCAGCTAAAGACAAAAGAGGATGTTGGGGGTGGGGGGAGTCAGTTATGGGAGATTACCAGAAGAGCACAGTAAATGAGAGTAAGGTTATTATGCAGATTTAAGGCCTCACCTTCCACATTGATACATTTCTAGAGATGAAGTCATCCCTCCTCTTCCCAGTACAGAGAGGGAGATATCTTTACAAATGGAGATTTTCCTTATAAATGTAAATGTTTGGCTGACAAACATTTACAGGGCCACCTAGAGAATGTGGCCTGGGAGAGACAGAATTTTTGAAAAGATGGGCTTGTCTTTCCTATTGTAGCATCTATTTTACATTATATCTTTTTCATTTTAGCTATTCTCATTAGGTGTGTAGTGATATCTCATTGTGATTTTAATTTGTATTTCTCCTTTGACTAGCCTTAAATTTTTTTTCTATTTCTCTAGTGGGTAATAAAGGTGAATATTTTTTCATGTGCTTATTTGACGTCTGTATATTCTCTCCTTCAGTGAAATGTCTGTTAATATCTTTTGTCCATTTTCTATTTGGATTGTTTAGTGTTTTTGTTTGTTTTACTATTGAGTTTTGAGAGTTATTTATATATTCTAGATACTAGTCCTTTGTCAAATGTGTGCTTTGCAAATATTTTCTCCAAGTCTGTAGTTTGTCTTTTTATCCTCTTAGAAGAGTCTTGCAGACCAAGTTTTTAAATTTGGTAGTCTAATTTATCAAATTTTTATTTTATGGGTTGTGCTTTTGGTGTCGTCTAAGAAAACCTTTCCTTAGCCCTAGACCCCAAATATTTTCACCTGTTTTATTTCTAAAATTTTTATAGTTTTACATTTAAGTATGTGATCCACTTTGATCTAATTTTTGTATAAGGTATGAGGTTTAGTTCAATGTTCTTTTTTTTCTTGCCTATGAATGTCCAATTGCTGAAATGGCTATTTGTTGAAATGGCTATTCTTCCTCCATTGAGTTGCTTTTGCACTTTCATCAAAAATAGGTTGGGCATATCCGTATGTATCTATTTCTAGGTTTTCTATTCTGTTCTATTGATCAGTGTGTCTATCCCTATGCTAGTAACACACTGTAGCTAAAAACTAGGTCTTTTAAGATGAATTAGAGTGATTCCTCCCACTTTATTCTTCTTTTTAATAATTATATTCATTATTTTAGGACCCATATCTTTCCATATTAATTTTAGAATAAGCTTCTCTATGTCTACCAAAAAAATCTTTGTGAGATTTTGGTAGGAATTCCATTAAACTTACAGATCAACTTGGGATAATTTACGTCTTTACTAGGTTCAATCTTTCAATCCATGAACATGGTATCACTATTTATTTAGATCTTCCTTTATTTATTTTATTAGTATTTATAGTTTTCAGGATAAAGTCCTATACATGTTTAAATTTATAGCTAAGTATTTCTCTTTTTGTGAGAGAGAGTATAATGGTATTGTGTATTTTTAATTCTGGTTTCCACACAATTATTCTTATTATATGGAAATGTATTAATTTCTGTTTGTTGATCTTGTATCCTGCAACCTTGCTGAACTAATTTATTAGTTCTAGGAGAATAATTTTCTCATTGCTTGTTTTGTTTTAGTTTGTTCTATAGATTCCTTGGGATTTTCGACCTATGCAACCATATCACCTGCAAATAAAATTACTTTTATTTCTTTTCATTTAAATTGCATGACTTTAGTGTCTTGTTCTGCCTTAGTGCAGTTGCTAGAAATTTAGTACTATGTTGAAAAGGAGTGGTGAGAGTAGACATCCTTGCCTTGTTCCTGATCCTAGGGGAAAAGCATTCATTCTTTCATCATTAAGTGTGACAATGGCAGCAGTTTTTCTGTAGATGTTTTTTATGAAGTTGAGGAAATTACCTTCTATTCCAAGTTTTCTTAGAATTTTCACCGTGAAAGAGTGTTAGACTTTGTCAAATGCTTTTTCTGTGTTGTTGCTATGATCATATGATTTTTTATTTACCTGTTGTTATAGTGGGTTACATTGATTTTCAAATGTGTATCGCCCATACAAATCTGTAATAAATAGCACTTGTTCATATTGTCTTTTTGTACTCTGTGGATTCTGTTTGCTAATATTTTGTTGCAGATATTTGCATGTATATTCATGAGATTCAAAGTTTGTAATTTTCTTTCCTGTGATGTCTTGATCTGGTTTTGGTATTAGGGTAATGCTGGTCTCATAAAGTCAGTTGGGAAGAGTTCCCTCCTCTTGGATTTTCTGGAAGAGATTGTGTAAAATTGGTGTTAATTACTCTTTAAATGTTTTGATAGATTTCTCCAGTGAAACCATATTAGCTTAGAAACTTTTATTAGGAGCTTTGTAATTACAAATTCAATTGCATTAATGGTTATATACTATTCAGGTTTTCTATTTCTCCTTGTTTGATATTAGGTAGATTGTGGTTTATAAGGAATTGATCCATTTCTTCTAAGTAGTCAAATTTATGACCACAAAGTTTTTTTGTATTATTTCCTTATCCTTTAAATGGCTGCAGAATCTGTAGTGATAGTCCCTGCTTCATTCCTAATAGGGGTGATTTGTGTCTTCATTTTTTTTTTAATCTCCATAAGTCTAGGA